ATATTTGCATAACAGAAGGTCTATTTAACCTTTCTCACTACTTTTTATCTTTTGGCCTTTCTCTCCTTTTCTCAACTTTGGGTCTATAATCCTTTGAGTTCCAACTCCAGCATTATTTAGTATTCTTTCCAGCATTGAAAGATCATTGAAAGATTTGGCTACCCTTTTTTCAGTTTGGCGTAAAAATTATCATTTCGCGCATTGGCTACTTTCAGGGCTACATATTATTTATAAATATATTAGTCGAATAAAAATGCACTTTAAAATGGTGTTTCGTCATTTTTTATTAATTATAGACCTAAATAAAACAAACATTTGTGTTTTTCAAATAAATTTTTGTTTGTTTCCTTTATAATAAATGAATTTATTTATTTCTAAGTAAAAATTGGAAGGGTCTGTAGAAGTAATTTTTTAAAATATCCTTGTTCGTGATAAAGTTTTAATACTTATTACTACAATCTAGACATGTTAATCCTTAAATATACTTGTATATTTAAGGATTGGGTCACAAATATATTATATATACTTGTGGCCCAAAACTCCATGACTTCTTCCAATGTGGCCCAGAAGAACAAAAAGGTTGGACACCCCTGGTGTACAGTAAGACCCCACTTAACACAGGGATGCATTCCTAGATAACAAAGCAGTAAGTGAAACAGCTTTAAATAAGATTATTTTAACAAAGTAAATAGGGATAGGGGAACATGCAACCAAAAATAAACAAATTTTACTTTAATTTTAAGTTATTTTTATATTAATTTATATAATAATATATGTTAAATAACACACAAACATATGCATACATATGTTTGTGTGTTATTTGCAGAAATGTAAAATTCATTTTTTGTGATGAAAGTCCTGACTTTTCTGAAATTTTTGTTCTTTTGCAATAAAGTCATGAAGTTTCATTTGTTGCTTTTTTCTTTCCTTAAGCAAATGTCAGTAGCAGAAGATCGCATCCAAAACACCTCATTTTGCTTTTGCACTCCTTTCAAAATCTGGATCATTCGCTGCAATTTGATCAACAATTTCGTTATCTTACCAAACTTTTACTAATAAAATCTGTAGAGAAATTTTTTGGGTTCTTTGTTATCAGAATCTCTATTTTCCACTTTCACATGAATTCCATGTTCTGCCAGTTCTTGAAGGTCATTGTTGGTAAGGCTCTCACCAGAAACCTGCTAGGAGGTGTAAATGGGAGGGACTAGGAGGTGTAAATGTGCAGGATATTGAGGAGTTACACCAGAAACCTGCTGTAACTCCTCAATATCCTGCACATTTACACCTCCTAGTCCTGCTGTATCGATTAGGTTGAATTTGGTCAAATTAACGATACAGTGACAGGCTCTTCTCATTGAGAATTCTTGGATGCCTTCAGCCATAACTTCTTCCACACTTTATTTGTGAATTTATCAGTTAATTCTTGCCAAGCAAAGTTGATATTTCCTATTGTATCCATGATGTTATATTTTTTTCCAAAATTGCACTAAGCAAATATAGATTTAAAAAAAGTACGCCTTTTTGCCACATTTTGCTAATTGGTTTGTGTTTGCAAATAATTGTACACCCATACCTCGCTATACGGCCGCTCTTTATACGGCATTTCGCTATAACGGCCCTCTTCGATTAAGGCACGTTTTCGATTTACGGCCTAAAATGTTTTGCTATAACGGCAAAAAAAACTTTTTTTCGATGTCGATATATCTACATGTTGCCAATCTTGCGCAAGCGCAATCTCGATGCACGCTATTTTCTATTTCCTCTTGTTTACGAGTGTTATTCAGTGTGTGCTCATGAAACGGCTGGTTTAGACTTGTCTGTGAGTGTTTTATGTACATATTTATTACTGGAGAATGAAATAGACAAGAAGGCAAGACAAACAACGGTGGACAATTTTTTTAAGCCAGGCCCATCCTTACCAGCGAAAAATGATGATGACAGTGATCTGCAGGTTACCATTTCTTCATCGTCTTCAGATTAAAGCCATTTTTTAAAAAAATTATGTATGTAAACATACACATATTTTATGTAACATGAAGTTATTTCATGTTTGTTTATAGATTATTGTTGGTTTTTGGAGTCTGTTATTATTTTATGTACAAATGTATGTACTTCTTATGTACGTATTTTTGATTTAAATGAAATAAAAAGATAAAATGCATTTTGAATGATAAACCATATTACATATTTAATAAATTTGGAACCGATCCCATTGAATTTGTATGAATTTGTATTAGAATAATTGATTCCTTATACGGCTTTTCGCTTTGCGGCCAAGTTTCGTGGAACGTATCTATGCCGTAAAGCGAGGTATGGGTGTATTATATATGAATCAATGAAATGCTGTGATAATTTAAATCGGCGTAAATTTTGAGCTTTTTTTAAGCTTCAAGCAGACCATGTTATATTGAATCAGCATTAAGTGGGGTCTTACTGTATTTGTATTTTGTTTAGATGCTTGAAAAAGGTTTATGGTCACAGTGTCATAAATAAATAAATAATAATAGCTTTTAATTCGTATTATTGTTATTATTATTAACAATTTTAATTAATATTCTCACCTTATTGTTAAAATGATCTATGCCTTCAAAAGTTAATTCAAGAGGATTTATTGATAGATCATCTTTCAATACCTCAAATGCATTGGAGAGAGCAGAGCAAGCCCTAAAAATATAAAGTGACATTTTTTATGTATCCTATATATTCATATTTTAAAACATTTATGATTTACAATTTTAAGATTTATATTTACAGATTACAAAAGATTTACCAACATTTTTGCAAAATTGTGTTTAATCAAATATTTTAAAATAATCTTACAGTATATTATATTTAGAATAAATGATTTCAGTTTAAGTATTAGACATGAATAATTTACAAATATTGTTTAAATTGTTTAAATACAAACAAAATACATTACAATATCAAAATATTAATTGTTTATTTTCAAATTTTGTTTTTTATTAAGTTATAGAATTTGCNTGAATCGACGAAGAATGTAAGTTATTTCAAAATGTATAATTTATTTATTTAAGGTTTACAGCTCAGAATGAACAACTAAAAAACACAATAATTTTAAGTGTTCACTTTAGTAACTGATACTATAAATATTACACAAATACAAAGAAGACTAAATACCAACCAACTGCCGAAATTCTATCGGGCTAGTTTAAGGCTAATTACTAAATGAATTACGTAAACTAGCCCGATGGAATTTCGGCAGTTGGTTGGTATTTAGATACATTATGTATCGGGTTTAGTAATGTTTGTATACAAAGAAGACTATTAAATAAATAATATAAGACTGAAAACTTCATGCGTTTTCCTTTAATATTGTATTTTTAAAATTTTTTCAGGCTCTGAGTCATGAACCAAAAAAGGATGTGTTCGACAAATTTGGCAGCCTTATAGCTGTCAAACTAAGAATCCTTCCCAAGGAAAATGCCTTGGACTTGCAACTAAAAATATTGTAAATAGTTCTTAATAAACATTTTTCACTTACTGTATCAAAGTTGTATTTCTTAACTCAAAACAGTATATTATTTATAATGAAGACTTGTAATTATAATAATTCCAAACTTTTTAAATAATTTTACATTTCATATTTATTATTTAATAATTTTACATCTCATTGCCATTCTACTTGATCTACAGTATTAAAATAAGTTTTCAATTCATCACAGATTGCTTTTGCTGTTGATGGATTTAAATTTTGACTGTTTTCCAAGGATATAAACTGTTGATATTGCTCTCCAAAGTTGTCACTGGTAGCAGCTGTGGGATAAGATTTTATTTTTCTTTCCTGTAACATGTCGTGAAGAACACATTATCCGGGGATAATAAAATCACTGTAGAGAAGACGCGCCAAACAGAAGAGAAGATCCCAAATGCATTTTCAACAACTCTCCCTGCTCTTGATAATCTAACAATAATTTCAATTTGAATTGAATTAAACAGTTTTTATGACTTATACACTAATAATAATAATAAATTGTTTTAAATAATTAATATTAAATAGTTCTTTTACCTATAATTGAAGATGGATTTCTCTGCTGTCAACTGTTTCATCGGGTAAGGCTCACAAAGACATACCAATTCCTTCATCTGTAACAAATACATATGGAATTGGCTGTCCTCCACCTTGAAGAGGACTATCTGGTGGAAAGTTTAATTTTCAATCATCAATGGCTTTCTTCAGATTTGATGCATTCCAAATCGAAGAATTGCTCTGTCTCCCATTAGTGCCTGCATCCACATATATAAATGAAAGATCTGCACGCACCATTGCCATCATAACCACACTATAAAATCCTTATTTGGAAAAAACAGAATTTTAGCAAACAGAATAACTAAGTACAACCTCAAATAATTGACTAATAACAGAAATACTACCTTTATAGTTATAATAAGCAGATCCAGATTGCTTAGGACATATGATCTGTACATGTTTTCCATCTATTGCACCAAAGCAATGAGGAAATTGCCACATTTCATCAAATTTCCTAGCAATATCTTCCCATTCACATACTGCAGATGGTGCCTTAGGAAAATAAACAATTTTAAATTAATGTAGCCAATATAATAATAAAGTTAAAAATCAAAATAATATGAAGTTCTTGAAGAACATTTGAAATAAATTTTTCTGCGCAATTTTTTTGTAAAATTAACATTATTGAGATATACCTTATGTCGTATATTTGTCAACATATCTTGATAGTAACATTTGATTTAACTCAGTTTTAATACATTTAAATTTAAATGCTATATTTGATATAAATCAAATCTGAATTTATGAGAGTTATTGTTAGATTTATTTTAAAAGGTTTGATTACATTTAATAATATACAATTGAATAAAATAAATGCTTATATTAAAGAAAAAATATATCAATTAAAAATGAATTAAATCGTTCAAGCTTTCCTCTGAACAACACTTACCCTCAAATATTCACTTTTATAAGATTGATAAATAGCATCCAAAACTTCTGGGATAATGACTGATATTGAATTATGGGCCACTCTAAATTGGTATGCCAAACTATAAAACGTTTTGCCTAAATTATATATGAGTCATTTTAATCATAAGATTGCATAAAATATAAATTAAATACAATATATATTATATTCTTACCTGTTGCTAAATAACAAAATGTCAACGAAAGACGTTCTCCGGGTGAAATAGAACTTCAGAGATGTGTATCTTCTTTAGCTATTATGGGTGTTATCCTCTTTGAAATACTTTGAAAAGTATTCGTATCCATACGGATATGTCCCCTATAACCTTCAGCATCCCTATAACCTTAATTCATTCATCAGCTGGTGGAAGCAAGATTGTTTAGCCCGGTGATTTTCATTTTGCCAAGTTTTAACCCGGTGTGAACATTTTTTTTCTTATTTTTCCCTTCTTATATTCTCGCCATCTCTAACAAAATTAACACCTTTTTTCTTTTATTCACTCCAGAAAAGGAACTGCTTGCCATTTTAATAAGAAAAGTGGCTAAAATTCCATAAATACTCTGAATTAGAACGTAAACTCACAAAAGTAGACAAAAAACAAGCTACTGTAATTTTATTGGTTTATTATAGTGTAGAGTTCCCTGTAGAACAGGTCTGCAGGACTTCACAAAAAAAACAACGGACAAGTCGGCTCAACAATAACTTAGTATTTAATTAACTTTCATTAGGGTACAAATGGGATAATTACATAAGATATGAACTATTGACAATAATGTGTTATATCCAAGTGGTACATGCAAACAATACATACATTTACAACTTTCCCTCTTTCCTTCCTCAGCTTTGGGGGCTCACGACACATGACAATGCAGGACAGCAAACAACGTGAACAATGGAAGATATTAACAAAATTACTCATGACAATTTTACACCGCTTACAAACATTTGAAGAAGAACTAATCTGCGCCTACGAATCTTCAGTCAGTTTTCTTTGTCTTGGACAAGTTGTTATTCGCTTCCACACTATCCTTGTTTAGATGCAAACTGATTTCTGCTATCTTGTCTCCCTACGTCCTCGGGTCTCCCATGCTCGGCGCCTCGATCTCACACACGTGGTCAGAACATTGTAGTCAGGAACAATCCGGAAGCAAAAAGGTACGCCTCCATGTGGGTCTCGGCCTTATATATCCTACACAGCGGATATACTCCTCACATGACGACAACAGGCCAATCCGGCTGCCAATATACGGTGAACTGGGGACAGGTGGCACCACGAACAAAAACGAAAGGGTGAGGGAAAAACCGAAACAACAAAAAAGGAAAATAGTCGCGAAGCACTACAATAGGGTCACATGTTTCTGAGTGCAACATCAACAAACAATGTGTGACCATGAGAAGACACGCACGATTTGCACTTGTTGCAGTTGCACTTGCCTGTGCGGCTGGAAATCGCATAGTGTGACCAGGGCTTTAGAGAACTTTTCAGTAGACATTGCAATTTGAAAGTTTTTGGAAGCAATCCTGCATGTTGTGACTGAAGTTTCATTTCTGGATTTAACATAGAAATCCATGTCTCATTCTTTGTGATTATTTTTCCAAAGAGTGTGGGTCTGATTAGTGGGCTTATCAACATTTCTACAGAACAACAATACTTTCCAAAAAAAACAAAACATAGCAATGAATGGAGTTTGGATCCATGCAAACTTCTCTACAACCCTTGTGGATTTAATTCTGAAGAATAAAATACTCTTATTGCACTGTCTTCTCACAAAAAATTTGACATATTTTGTAAATAAATTTTTTGAAAAAAATCACAAGGTTATCATCATCATAAAGAAATTTTACATGCTTGACATCAAAAATCCATTAATTAGCTTAAATGTTCTATCTACTCTTCCACAAACCAGAAAAGTTCACACACTAACCTTATATATCTCCCAGCAGGATGGGAAAAAAAATTAAAATAAAATGAATGCTTTTGGTCTACTTTTAAGACCTGCTTCATGCTGACGAAATTGCTTCGATTTTTAAAATGAAATGCACTGAAGAAAATACTCATATAAATTTATATGAATATTTTCTTCAGTGCATTCCATCTTTGAAAATCACAGTAATAAATTTATGAATGAATTAACATTTTTGTTTCATTTTGTGAACTAGTGTGGAATAATTTTTAGGGAAATTTTGGATCCTGAAAATATTCTGCACCCCTTGCTACTATGCCAATAAATATGTAATTTTTTTAAGAAACAATGTATTTAAAGTAAAGACTAACTATGAAAACATTTTGAAGTTTTCTACATGTCCATTCATAACTGTTGAAACACAATTAACAACTAAACACACCAACGGCTAACAGGATAAGAAATCTTTTATTTTCAGATAAAACCTTTTTTAAGTCCTTTTATTTTCAGATGAAACATTACTTGAGACTGTTTCATCATCAGATCTCTCAAACTATTCCCAAATCAAACATATATTACCAATGTTGTAGAGCCATTTCTGGATAAACATAAAAATTTAAAACAGACAGGTAACAGACAGACAGAATTACTGAAGGTAATTCTGTCTGTCTGTTACCTTTTATGTCTGTTTATTAAAACCTGTCTATTTATTATGTCTATTTACTATGTCTATTATGTCTATTTATTAAAACCTGTTCAGCGGTTTAGATGTGAAAAGGTAACAGACATAAAAGGTAACATTATAACAGACATACCTTTTAACAGACATAAAAGACATACCTTTTATGTCTGTTATAATATTAGTATAGATTAATATGAATTTCTGCTATAAGGGGTATGCAAGTTTGAGCTCTTTCTTGAAGTGGTATGCAGGAAAAACTAATTGGGAACCACTGTTATAGATAATTTTATATATTACAATATATAATAAATTTTTTATTTAAAACTATTTATTTATCTTGACAAAGTAATGTGTTGAATTTACTCATTGTGGCTGTATTATTCGTTCGGTGAATGGTTGTCTCTTTAATCTGAAATAATTCCTTCGGTAGACTATTCAGTAGAAATTGTATTGCATTTTACACCCAGAAAGATATCTTAATATTGTAAATAGAAGTACCATATGAGTGTAACAATTTAGCTTGGGAAAAAAAGTGGGTGAAGTCTTTAAAGATATTGTAAAAAGTGTTTCCTTGTGTTACTTGACATTTCTACTCATGTTATTATATTTGTCAACTCAATGTCTGTAATGTGTACTTCCTGTAGCACTGAAGAGAGACTAAAAAAATAAAACTAGCCCGAAATGTATATGTGAAAATACAATAAAGGAGTTTCTTAACATGACTTGCTGTAAGATAGTCTACCGAAGGAATTATTTTGGATTAAAGAGACAACCATTCACTGATCATTGACAAAGTAATTTCAGAAATACTTGTTTTGAATTTCTGGAAGTTAACGTTTCAAATTTTGTTATCTTTTGAAATATTTACAATAATAAAATGATTATATTACATTATAACCAGGATAACATCTAGAAAAAAATATATTTTTCTAGATATATTGTAATATATAAAATTATCTAGAAAAAAATATATTTTTCTAGATGTATTGTAATAATCAGGATAACATCAACAAAGTATGTGTATTATATAAAAAGCAAGTTGTTCTAGATAGTTTTAAATTAACTTTGCAGAAAAGAATCTTTTATTAGTAACCTGCTAGAAAAAACACTACCGACCTTCTAAATACAACTACAGATGGAAAAATAACCTGCTACTGCCAACATCCAAATACTGTTTTGGTCAAACCACACTGATCTACCAAATAATATGTAATTGGAATGCTCTAAAAGAATACAAACATTTGAAAACCTACAATTTAAAGATTCTATCAAAAGTTCAAATTATGTTTAATTTTGTATGTTGATTGTTTTATTTTTAATAATAAAAAACAAATTTTTTCCTGTGTGTTTGTTATGGTGTACAGCAGGGGTGTCCAACCCGCGGCCCGCGGGCCACATGCGGCCCAAGGCAAGTTCCAATGCGGCCCAATAAACGTGTAAACGAAACCGACAAATTCTTTTATTTTTTTAATTATTTATTTATTTCAACGGCATAAACTAAAAAAAAATTCAAAGCTGTAAACTTTTATACATATTTTATTTTTGAGTGAAAAGGAAATATTTTCAAATACTTGGAGATGTGTGAATGACGAAGGAATACTAAATAAAGCTGAAGTTGTGACTCAAAGGATTATAGACCCAAATTTGAGAAAAGGAGAGAAAGGCCAAAAGATAAAAAGTAGTGAGAAAGGTT